GAAAATATACAATTTGACAAAAGTTCATTGAATATAAATCTGAACATGTTTTTCCTGTTAAACTAACCGTCATCAAAAGATTGTCCAGTTCTTAATCGTTTTGCTTTTTCAATAATATGTTCTCTTGATCGATCACGTGCTGTTCCCATTGGTGTTGTTGTTGTTGTTGTTGGTAATGGTTCAATAGATGAAATTCGATCTTCATCTATATCACCAAGATGTTTTGAAACTTTTTCTTGTTTTTCTCGTATTTGTTCATGAACATCATGTTGATCATCATCAATAGTATCTGATGTTATTTTTTTTCTTGGTTTTTTACTTTCTTGTTGTACTTCATTAAGTTTTCGATGATGTTGTTTTGTTAAATGTGCTGCAAGTCGATCAGCATCATGAATTTTTTCTTCTTCTTCTTCTTCTTCTTCTTCTTCATCTTCATTAACACGTTCAATAGGAGGATGTAGAGGTGGTCGATCTTCTTCAGTAAATGCTTGATTATCATATTGTTGATCAGTTGTTGATCGTTGAGCACGTCGTTGACGACGTCGATCAGCTGCAGTTGATGCCGATGTTTCTCGAGGACTAACATCTGAACTTGAATCTTTAACTAAATTTTCTTGTGATGTATGTGCACGAGCACGACGTACACGCCTGCGTTGTGCAATAGATCTTTAATAAAAAGAAAAACAAGAACATTTTTTTCATGAAAAAAAAAAGTAATCGAAATACTTACGGATCCATTTTGATTATAGTTGATACGGATTGATATAATGATTATGAGATAATAAAGCCATTACATTGGCCATATGACAATGATTGCTTAGGGTTAGCCTCTAGATTAAAATGAAACTATGAAAGTTTAAGCAAAAAAAAACTTTTATTTCTCAATTTGTAGAAAATATCGAACAAAAGAAAAACTATAGGAAATTGTAAAAAAAAAACCTCATAATTCGATAGATGGCGTTTGCTTATAATTGGTTAATTCAATGAACTAATCAATTTTTTTATCTTTTGTAATTGTTTCAAGTTTTAATCTTTTTTCTTCTTCTTTTTTTTTGCATACTCATTGATTGACCTTCAACAGCAAAAAAATTTCATCGAATAACAATCTAATGGAAAATCAAAGTAAATATTTATTCTATTGATTTAATATGAAAAGTTGTTTTTTTTTTATTGCGTTCTTCCTTAGTCAATAATGATGTACCTGCTGATGCTCCTCATGCATGTCCTGGTACTTCTAGTACTGTTGCTGGACGTGTATCAGCTTGTGCTGGTTGTCCAAATCAATCGATATGTTCGTCCGGTGAAACACGACGTATTGATCCAGCTATTATTGACATTGGTCAACGCTTATCATCAGTAAAACATATTATTGTTGTTTTAAGTGGAAAAGGTGGAGTTGGAAAAACAACTGTTGCTGTTATGTTAGCTCGAGCATTAGCACGAAATTCTCAATTACGTGTTGCTATACTTGATATTGATATTTGTGGACCAAGTGTACCAAGAGCACTTGGTGTTGAAAATGAACAAGTGAGTTATTTTGAATATATTATAATAAATTTTTTATTTAATATAGTAGATTCAGATATCATTTTTTTTATGTTGTGAATTGAACTTTAGATTCTTTGGAATTTCGAATCGAGAAGTTTAATTTTTGTTAGGTTAAAGTACAGAAATACAATGAAAATTATTCTATAGCGACGAAATATTTTAATATTAATGTTGATTTGAGAATTGTTAGCCTGTCTGTAAAGCTGAGAGAGAGAGCATTGAGAGTGAGTGTGTGTATCGTAGACTTTATTTTTTAAGACGAAAAAATCACGTTTGAACAATAAAAAAGAATTCCAAAAAAACTGAAGAAGAAGAATAGTGTATATATAGGAGAAAAAAAGAAGGAAAAAATGTGATCTATAATCACATTTTTTACACAACGCATCATGCATCATGAATCAAGAAGAAAAGGAAAAATGTGAGCGAGAATCACATTTTTAACAAAACGCGCGCAAAGAAAGTGATGGCTTGAGTCATCGCTACCAAGAATAGATCGATGGAAGAGTGAATAACTAATTTTATATCGATTTATTTCTAAGCGGCTAATAAATACTTAAAATCTTGATTTTTCACTTAGCTATATAAACAGAAGATATTAGATACTTATAAAAATCAACTTGAATTTGAATCCGATCGGATCTAAGTTTGTATCTGTCAGATCTAGATTCGGAAAAATGTAGATCTTCAACTCCTTATTGAACTCGATTTCTAGTTGAGTAAACAAGTTTATTAAAATACTATTCAATTTTAACATTGTATGTTAAGATTATAGTTCTTCCACTATTTTATTCCAATTAATTAGACGTTTCGGTGATATTATCTCGAAATGAAATTATAGACGTAAGCCGTAGGTTTAATAAAGCATAGACCAAAAAACATTTCGTTAGTTAATTAACCTTGAGATAATGAATGAAACGTAGTATAGAGAAGAAATTAAAATGTTTGTTGCAATCCACGATCTTGAATATTTTATATCGATTTTCCTAGTGACATAACCAGAAAAAAGTTGTATAATTGTTAATTACAAAAATGATATTTTTGAAACCATTTTGACAACTTTGATTTTCATCGGAAAATTCAGCTGTGGTTCCCCTCATGGAAATATATCAAATAAATGAATTCCATGAAAACATCATTTAATGATCTTTATTTTTAAATTTTGAAAGTTTCCGACTTATTTCTCATAATTCATTTCACATTTAAATTGGATTCATTTTTTGTCATATTCCTATGAAAGGATCACAGCTGAATTTTTCGACGAAAATTAAAGTTGTCGAAATGACTTAAAAAATATAGATAGGTCGATTTAATTTTTTGTGCTGATTTCAAATATGTTATTTCTTTGTAAATAACAGTTAAATCATTCTAATTAAAATAGCATCAAAAAGTGCCGTTTTTTATGTCTTTTCATGCAATAGTATCATTTTATTAGAGCTTGAAAAATATTAACGATTAGTATATTAGACTCAAAAATAAGAGAAAAAGATCGACTGTACTGTCACCGATAGTAATTTCATCATTCATATTTTTATTCGTATTTATCATTTTCTAATTTGTTTTTTTTTTGTTAGGTACATGCAAGTGGTTCCGGTTGGTCACCAGTTTATATTACTGAAAATTTATCTGCTATGTCCGTTGGTTTTTTATTAACATCTCTTGAACAAGCTGTTATATGGAAAGGTCCACGTAAAGATCATATGATAAAACAATTTTTATTAGATGTTGATTGGGGTGAAGGTGAACTTGATTATTTAATTGTTGATACACCACCAGGTACATCTGATGAACATTTATCTGTTGTTAATTATTTAAAAAATGTTTCATCTATATCTGGTTGTATACTTGTAACAACACCACAAGAAATATCATTACAAGATGTTCGAAAAGAAATATCATTTGTTAAACAAGTAAATCTTAATGTTCTTGGTATAATTGAAAATATGTCAATATTTAAATGTGGAAAATGTCATAAAGAAAGTCAAATATTTCCAAAACATGATGGATTAAAACAATTATGTGAAAATAATAATTATGAATTACTTACAAGTATTCCAATTGATCCATTTATTGCTAAATGTTGTGATGATGGAGAAGATTTATTTGAAATTTATCCAGATTCATCAACAGCAAAAGTTTATTTAAATTTAGCAGAAAAAATTCAAGAAAAATGTCAATCAAAATAGAATGAAACATAAATTTGTTGTTTTTTTTTTCGTTCAATCTTTTAATTTCATTGATCATCTACTTTTTTTTTGTTTTTTTTTTATAGATTAGTATGCTTTCTCTTAAACAGAATGGGTTGAAATTGAAAAAATATCAAATTTAAAATGGATGCCGATTTTAAGGCTCAATTAGATCAAGAACGAACTAAAGTTGAAGATGCATTTGATTTTCTTGGTTGTAAAGTTGGCCGAGGTACTTATGGACATGTTTATAAAGCAAAGAAAAAAGATGGGTAATAAAAAACGATTTATTATTCTTCGTTTTTGTGTTTCTAATTAGATTATTTTATTTAGAAGTGATACGCGAGATTATGCATTAAAACAAATCGAAGGTAAATACAAAATCCTTAGAAAATTGAAAAGAGAAAAATTTCTTTTTTTTTTATAGGAGCTGGTTTATCAACAAGTGCTTGTCGAGAAATTTCTGTATGTTAATCATTTTTTGTGAAATACGATCTAAAACGAGTATTGAAATATAAGGAGAAAAATTGGAAACAACTTTATTTTACTCAGAAGTGATTGTATATCATAGAAAAAAACACTTAAAAAAATGAAAAGCTTTCGGAAACTATGGTTTCTTAAGAGACCCAAAATATTTGAACTTCAGATTTTCAGAAAACTCGTACTTTCGAATTTTGATATGAAGCTTTCAAAAAAAATTCATATTGTGCATATACACTGACCTTGGAAAAGGTCTGTATGTCGAAGAGACTTTGTTTAAAACTTGTGAGTTTCTTTTTAATGAAATCTAATCTATTCGAGTTCTTTATATAC